TATAATCAATTTTATTCACCGTCTTTACACAAGCTTATATATTGTTAAAATAATATAACATTATAACATTTCTTCATTTGATATTGTTACATTTTAAAATGACGACATGTTTCGATGTTCATTCCATCATCGTCAGGTCCATCAATTACAATTTAAAATCTGTTGCACCTGCTGCCCTGCGTATACTGATTTGTTCTACCCATTAGATTTTATTTGTTTAACCTTCAGGCTTCTTCCATTAAATTTGGAGGCTGCGTCTAGATGCCTTAAATCTGCAAAATCAATTTTAATTTTCATATCGTGATTCTGGATAATGACATAGGAAATGGAATAATTTTAAAGAATTATTACGCAATATATCGTAATACAAGCAAAAGAAAAGTAATCACAAAATATTTAAAGTATTATAACATACCGGGTTGTGTGTGATGTGCGTGTCCGATATTACGGAACGGTAGACTGCAACTAAGCTGTGTGTATCGTGTGTGGCTATATATATTAAGTGAAAGTTGTTCAATGATATTTGATATGAATCAATGATATTTTATTATCTTAATTATAAGAAATTTTAAATATTGTGATAAGACAGATTAAAATAAATAATTGTTAAATGACCCAGATTAAATCTCTCCAGGAAGGAGTACATTGGCTACTTAAATTGAGTACCGTAAAGGTTAAAACATTGTTTCGTTTTCAGCTTTCACCAGCACTTCGTAATAGATTTACCGAGATCTGGTGTGAAAGCTGTACAGATAGAAATGACCTTCTAGCAGTTGTGGAACACAATCTCAGTCCTGGGTTGTTACTGGGAAATCAAGAGGATGGTAGTTCTGGTGTTGGCAGCTGCCTTCTAGATTTCATAGAGTGGTTCACCAGTACAGACATAGGCAAAAGGTAACACGCTTTATTGTGTTATTCATTACTACTTATTTACCGAGTGCGGTTTAACATCTCGAGTGTCTCCAGTGTGATGTGTTGTGACGTTGCTCATTTTAGTCCGTAGGTTTTTGCAGCTGAACTTCAATTTTTAGGGATAAGCCTTGTCATATGTTGAAAATTACCCAGTGTTTTGGCAGACATTGCAGTCGCTATTGAGGGTGAATGTGTAATGGGTATGAATTTTTGGAAGCTTTATATAGGGAGGGCAGTAGGTGATAAGTTTTGATATGATGATGCTGACTGGTGGAGTCGAAGAACAGGCAGCTGTCCAATTGGAGTTGACAAAATTAAGTACCGTATGCAAGATGTATAGCCACGGTGGTCTAGCGGTTAGAACGCTGGCCTTGTAATCCTGGGAGTCTCGGGTTCGATTCCCGGCGGTGTCCGAATTTATAACTTGTGTTGGGCAAGGCCGTGGTCTAGGCAACACGGAGTTTTCCTCCATGGCATCCCAACAATTACTCCATTCACACACAGAAGAAGGCAATGGCAAACCACTTCTGGATCATCTGCCAAGAACGTATATGAACAGGTCCCAGTCCGAGAAGAGAAAAGGATGGAAGGATCCTGTTCATATGGACCTGTCGTCCGACAGAACACTAAATAATAATAATAATGCAAGATGTACGTAAATACTTGCAATGCACGTGGCCTGGTAGTCAGGAGATTTTGTGCACAAGTGCAACTCCCCTATTCCCGAGTGGAGAATGTTCGTCTCTGCTCCGCTGTCTGTAATATTGTTATTCATTTATTTGTTTTGTTATTACTGATTATTTTATAATTTCATGTGTTATAATTTGATTTCACATAAAATCGGAACAACCACATCATTTTTCAGCCTGCAAGTAGTGATGTGACTTCCCAGACTGCATGCATTACAGGGACTTACTCAACTCTCGTGTTCAGTAGGTTAGAAATAAGTAGGTATTTAGGTGAAATCTGAATTAAAAATTCATTCATAGAAATTATTTTTGAGCATCGTAAATTAATTTATAAGATTCAGTCTATATATACTTACGGAGTGAAACATGTTCTGAATGATCATTGATAAATTTCCGTATGTATGTAGAACGTTGTTAAAATAAACCATTTTTAGAACTTGATTTACCATTTTCAATGGTTAAGCGGTTTGTGTAATAGCTGTAAGGAAATTTAAATTTACAGTCCGACTTCACACATTAAAACCTCAAAATTATTTTAGAGGTGTCATGATATCAAGCTTCCTCAATTACGTGAGACACGTCAATCCTCAAGTACGTGGAAGAACATTCACATTTTGAATTTTGTTATATTGATAGAACATGCAGTGTCCGAGTATGTAAGAATAAGAATATGAATTTCAGGACCATACACTAGAATGTGATCTTTTATTCACAGGTTCACTGTAAGTGTTCGGGATATTTTGTCATGGGTGAATTTCATTAATGTGTGTACACAAGATCAAAATGGTACGAATGAAATTGATGGTACTAGGAAATTGGACTTAGCCACAGCCTACATCCATGGAGCATGTCTCACATTTCTTGACAGCTTTGGTTCAGGAATAACAAGCGTTGATAGGTATGTATGTTATACACTCTGTTACTTTGTCAAGAGCCATGTTGAAATTCTCTGACATTCTTCTTTTCTTATTATATGTTTACATGTAAAAAGTTGTCCCACTTCACTGGGAGGAGGGGAGGTATTAACCTCAGTACTAGGTAGGGGTGAGTGGTCAGCATCACGCCTCGGCCACGCTTTAACCGTGGGAAAGGACCCCAGTACCCTCATGATAATTCTTTGTTATAATTTTCTTATTTGCGTATGAGATCCAGATAAATATATATTTTACAGAGTTTTGTTATTGTGTAATCTTCACAGAGATCAAGTGGTGTAAATTGTTCGGTAGCATGAGATGCAAATTTTTGCACTGAATCACCATATTTCTGTTTAGCCCACTTTGCTTATTTTATAATGGAAGACGGGCATGTGGATCTCTTCATACCATTGTGTCTGTTTCATCCTAGAAACTTCTGAACCAATTAGTCTATTTTTATGCAACTTCATAGGAACATTTTAACCTCAGAGGCTGCCCGTTACACTTACACAGTTCCCTACCTGAATGTGGCAGCTAGTGCCACTTAATATTGGATCCTGAAATGTTGTGTGGTAAGAGGTCATTAAAGGATGAAGATTTCTGTCTTCTGGGTTATTGCCCTGTGTAGTCTGGTAGATGTTAACCAACGTTTCAGCGGTCATACTGCCTCCATCATCAGGGCGATGACGGAGGCAGTATGACCTCTGAAACGTTAGTAAACATCTACCAGACTACACGGCGCAACAACCCAGAAGACAGAAGTCTTCATACTCTGATGACGGAGGCAGGATGACCTCTGAAACGTTAGTAAACATCTACCAGACTACACGGCGCAACAACCCAGAAGACAGAAGTCTTCATACTCTGATGACGGAGGCAGGATGACCTCTGAAACGTTAGTAAACATCTACCAGACTACACGGCGCAACAACCCAGAAGACAGAAGTCTTCATACTCTGATGACGGAGGCAGGATGACCTCTGAAACGTTAGTAAACATCTACCAGACTACACGGCGCAACAACCCAGAAGACAGAAGTCTTCATACTCTGATGACGGAGGCAGGATGACCTCTGAAACGTTAGTAAACATCTACCAGACTACACGGCGCAACAACCCAGAAGACAGAAGTCTTCATACTCTGATGACGGAGGCAGGATGACCTCTGAAACGTTAGTAAACATCTACCAGACTACACGGCGCAACAACCCAGAAGACAGAAGTCTTCATACTCTGATGACGGAGGCAGGATGACCTCTGAAACGTTAGTAAACATCTACCAGACTACACGGCGCAACAACCCAGAAGACAGAAGTCTTCATACTCTGATGACGGAGGCAGGATGACCTCTGAAACGTTAGTAAACATCTACCAGACTACACGGCGCAACAACCCAGAAGACAGAAGTCTTCATACTCTGATGACGGAGGCAGGATGACCTCTGAAACGTTAGTAAACATCTACCAGACTACACGGCGCAACAACCCAGAAGACAGAAGTCTTCATACTCTGATGACGGAGGCAGGATGACCTCTGAAACGTTAGTAAACATCTACCAGACTACACGGCGCAACAACCCAGAAGACAGAAGTCTTCATACTCTGATGACGGAGGCAGGATGACCTCTGAAACGTTAGTAAACATCTACCAGACTACACGGCGCAACAACCCAGAAGACAGAAGTCTTCATACTCTGATGACGGAGGCAGGATGACCTCTGAAACGTTAGTAAACATCTACCAGACTACACGGCGCAACAACCCAGAAGACAGAAGTCTTCATACTCTGATGACGGAGGCAGGATGACCTCTGAAACGTTAGTAAACATCTACCAGACTACACGGCGCAACAACCCAGAAGACAGAAGTCTTCATACTCTGATGACGGAGGCAGGATGACCTCTGAAACGTTAGTAAACATCTACCAGACTACACGGCGCAACAACCCAGAAGACAGAAGTCTTCATACTCTGATGACGGAGGCAGGATGACCTCTGAAACGTTAGTAAACATCTACCAGACTACACGGCGCAACAACCCAGAAGACAGAAGTCTTCATACTCTGATGACGGAGGCAGGATGACCTCTGAAACGTTAGTAAACATCTACCAGACTACACGGCGCAACAACCCAGAAGACAGAAATCTTCATACTCTCCGCTGTGAAAACCTCAAATCTTACGTCATCAAACAATGTTTGAAGGACAGCAAATATGTTCTTCTCTCTCATATTTTGCCAGGTCATGTGTTCCATAAAAAATCCCTGGTTAAGGTTCCAATGAAGAAATAATTACCTTAAAATAAAACATTTTTGTCATTAAATCTGCAATGCTACTTTAAAGTTATTATGCTTGTGGAAGAAGTGAGCATTTTTCATTGTAATTTACATAGAATCCAAAATTAGATCATTTTATGAATTTTTTTTTTCAGTACTACAAATCTAAAGGCTCTGCATAAAGCAGCGTTGAAGTATCTCATGGAGCAGGTGGAACTGAGCGTTGATGAAACAGCTTTACTTGGCAATGTTGTGATCACTGATACTCTTTTTGGTATCCATCCTTTCTACATAAAGAGAGGTATTTATTTGAACGTAAGTTACATTATTTTAATTAATACAAAGTCAGTGTGGCTGGAAGTGAAACGTATTCCTTTTATTTCAATTAGGATCTCTTCCTGTTGTTCCTGATGACTTTACATTCATGGCACCAACAACTGGTCTGAATGCATCTCGTGTATTGAGAGGACTCCAGTTAAACAAACCGATTCTGTTGGAGGGAAGCCCTGGAGTTGGGAAAACAAGCCTCGTTGCAGCGTTGGCAAAGGCTGCGGGATTCCATCTGACCAGAATAAATGTATCTGACCAAACTGTAAGTGTTACATGTATTTTATAAGAAGGAGTAGTAATACGAGGCGCGTCCCAAAAGTAAGTTTCCCACTCGTCCCACAGCTAGCAAACCTTATATTGAGCGAAGCGACTGTGCGTACGTGATAGAGCAATGACGTAGCATGGCGCATGCACTAACGGCACTTCCCGCGTTCTCACAGTAGCATCGTTGCAGCTGTTGAAGATGGAGGTTCTTATTCCAGCTCCCGCCGACTGTGAAGTGCGGTCAGTGATAACGCTAGGCCGCACACGACTCGACGGACAGCAAGTCTCCTGCAGGAGTTCAGCTGGGAGGTGTTTAATCATTCACCCTACAGCCCGGACCTCGCTCCCAGTGATTTCCATCTTTTCCTACACCTCAAGAAATTCCTGTCCGGTCAGCGTCAGCGTCAGCGTTTTGAGAATGAAAGAGAGGCGGAGATGGTTGTCACACAGTGGTTCCAATCCCAGGCGGCAGACTTCTACGACACAGGTATTCAAAAGTTGGTCCCACGGTATGACAAATGTCTCAAATCCGGTGGCGAATATGTTGAAAAATAGCTAGACACTTGCTGTATCTGTTGCAATAAATATTTACATGAAATTGTGTTTTGTTTCTGTAAACGGCCCCAGGGAAACTTACTTTAAGGACGAGCCTCGTACTTCAGAGTTCCTGTCAGAATAATACAGGCCTACTAACCTTTCCAGTTTGAGTTTTGAGCACAACAGCATGTCCATCCACACTACTAGAGATAAGCAAGTTGTTATCAGGATGGCAGTCCATGTCAGTAATTGTACCAGTGTGAGCTTGTCCTTGAGGTACGTGGTGTAATACTGTCGCAGTCTTTGTGTCAAATATTTTAAGTGAGCCATCTGCATAACCTATCGCCATACGTTTGCCTGGAAATTAAAAAAATTTACATCTTAATTTCATTCTCTCTACTTCGTATTTCATGACGTAAATGGCAAGGTAAAAAAATTCCACCTGGGATATTATCAGAACGTTTACAGTACCTGCTGCACTTATTTCTCAAATAATTACTCAAATAATGACCATACAAAATTTCATTCCAGGACTTATTTCTTTATGGCTGTGTATGTCATGCGGGATTTATAAATGAAGAAGAAACAACATTTGCCTTTCTTATTGAAGGATGGCTTTGTCAGTGACCATTTTCACCTGTACAAGTGTTCTGAACCTTCAATATATCTGCCTGCAGTATCTGTTTAATGGTCATATCGCAGACCTCTGAATCTGTGGTGGTGTGTCTGCGGTACGGTCCATGTTTTTATAGGGGTACCGTATGTCTTTGTTTGACTGGGACAGTCCCAGTTTGGAGACTTCCTCACCTGCCGTTTCATAGTTTTGTCCTGGTTTTTTTCCCCATTCTGCTTTAGAAAATTTGCATTGTACTGCATATAAGCACAGGTATACAAATCGCAGTTGCTGTAACTATGCATTCCGCATTGTTCGTAGTCGTTCACATGCCAGACACGGTGTTCTCTTCTTGTGCTAAATACTGAAACGTATTTGCAAGATTACAGGCTAGTCGCAGGATGGCGTGACTGTTGAGATCATGTAAACTGTGTCAGACGCAAAGTCAGTTTGTCAGCAACAGTGAGTTCATCAAATGTTGCTTTATTTTTAAAGTAGTGACCCTCAGGACAAGGTTTGTTGCATCTAAGAAAGCAACCGCACAGCCGCGCATTATTTGAATTTTAAAACAGACAACGAAGAACATCATCAAGGTGGTATATGCCTGTGAGTGCAATTAAGAACTACAGTTTCAAACATGAATAATTTAAGGCGCTACATATTATGCCCAATCCAATTACGTCATCCTGTATAAAGTAATTAAAATGAATCTTAGACCTTTGAACAACTGATATATTTCTTTTTTTGTTAGGATGTGTCCGATTTATTTGGAGCTGACTTACCAGTGGAAGGAGGTGGCGGTGGTCAGTTTGCTTGGCGTGATGGACCTTTCCTACAGGCACTCAAAGCTGGTCACTGGATATTATTGGATGAGGTAAATGTTTGCCTTCGGATGAATTGATTTGATTTACATACTGATATATGAGGTAACATTAGGAAAGGATGTTATGTGATTCCCTGGTTAAACTGGCAGTGGCCAGAGCTACTGACAACATTGTTATATAAATATTCTACTTTTGTTACCATTTCCATGATATTGGAAATTTTTTGTCAGTAACCGAAGCTTAAACCATAAACTATTGGGACTACTTTTCATTGAACTGAATTTCCTGTTACAGCTCAATCTTGCATCTCAGTCAGTGCTGGAGGGTTTGAATGCGTGCCTGGATCACAGAGGTGAAGTTTTTATTCCTGAACTCGGAAAGACGTTTCACATTCAAAGTGACAGCACGCGTTTGTTTGGTGCGCAGAATCCTCAGAGACAAGGTGGGGCCAGAAGAGGTCTCCCACAGTCCTTCCTGAATAGGTTCACTCAGGTATGTTCATGCCTAGTACAGTACAGATTATTAGATGGCATTATATAATTATTAGCGGTAGTGTTGTAGGATTTGAGGTTTTCACGGAGGTGAGTCTGAAGATGGCTGTCTTATGGGTTGTTGCGCCGTGTAGTCTGGTAGTGTTCTGTCAAACTTGAAATATCCAGCATGAAAGTGTATTAGTAAAACATGAGCTTTGTTACTAAATCCTTCTTGATGTGACTGTGAAGTATGCACAGCATGTCTCAACCGAAATGGTGTAAAGATTAAGAATTAAAAATATATTAAAATTAGCCGTCAATCACAATATAATATTATTAAAAGATTAAAATATAATTTTACGTTCCCTATCGAGTACTCGATTCACATGTGGAACATACACGACATGTGAATCGAGTACTCGATAGGGAACGTAAAATGATATTTTAATCTTTTAATAATATTATATTGTGATTGACGGCTAATTTTAATATATTTTTAATACTATATAAATCACAATATGACGCATCTACAATATCTTATAAAAGATTAAGAACTTAAAAAGCAAGTACGTTTAAAATATAAAATTACATATAGTGTTTATTATAATGAAGACAAGCTGCAAAAAATATTTGTACAGAACATATTTACGTAATTTTTAGGTCATAGATGCACGCATATTTCGTCAGTTTTTGGTGCATGAAATCCGATATCCGCACGTAGCAGACAGAGGTGTATAGACACTCTCTCATGTTACAAGCGAGGCTTTGTTGATGTTACTTAAGTGAAGGTAAAAACACAAATATTACTTGTTTTTTAATTTTTCTTTTTATAGGTTTACATTGACTCATTAACAGAAGCTGACTTGGAGTTCATTATCCGATTTCTGTTTCCTGATCTGCCACATAATCTGATATCCCGCATGATAAGATTCAATTCCCGATTGGTTAGAGAAACGGGTGAGCTGAGGTTATGGGGACAGAGGGGCGCGCCATGGGAGCTGAATCTTCGGGACTTGTGTCGGTGGTGCGAAGCAATAATTGCTGACTCCAGAAAATGTTCATTGTCAAAAAGGAATGCTGTACTTCATCCAGGAAAATTTATTGACCTGATTTATATGGACAGAATGAGGACAAGAGAAGACAAGGAGAAGGTAAACACAGTGTTTACTGTATTTTAAATATTGTGTAAAATCATTCCCCCCCAAGTGTTAGCTATTGAATGAGCTTGAATTAAAATAAATCATCCGTGGCATAACAGCCCTATGAGAGCCAAAGCCGACTAGCTGGCCGCTGGCCTCACGTTCACATGCCTAAGTAGAGGTGAACGATCATCCAACCAGATAGAGGATGACGTGTGGTCAGCACGACGAACCCCCAGCCATTGCTAGTTTTCATGACCGGATTACGCTACCCATTGTAGCTCTCCAATTTCCTCACGATGATGGGGTGGCACCGGTCCCACATACCGGTCGAAAATCTCGTGAGAAAATTTCTTTCCCCGAGACTCGAACCGGCGTGCATTCCGTGTCACCGGTCCGAAGAACAGTTAATGATCGAAAGTCTTTCATTTGTAATGTACACAAATCCAGTATTTGCACTCGGTCGCTTATTATTTAACTTTACTTGCCAGAAGTCTGTTTGTTTCCATTTTATCTGCCTTTCACAATACTTTTTGATGATCTTGTAAAACGTAGTTTAACAAATATCCTTGTTTTACACATTCTATAAGAACTAAAACATTCAAATAGGAGAGGAAGTAAAGAATGTTTGGATGTAACTCATTTCTGCTGCACATAAAATATAACCCCCAGTACACATTACTCTGATAAGACATTTCTTCTAGCAAGGAAAAATCTTGGTCCTCACAGATTACAATTCAGTGCATGTCTGTAAGAAAGCCCGAAGAGCCGGTTTCACTCGATTTCTGTCTCCAAAGGACAGTAAAGTGCCAAACTCTCTCCTTGTTTTCCACCGAGGTACCTTGCGAAGTGGATAATCCATCCACGACTAATATGAGAAGTACTAGCAACCAGCGCGATCGGGGTTCGATCCCCGACAGGGGCAGAGGATTTTTCCTCGAGCCTCTGCGTCCAGACCGGTTCTTAGGCCCACACAGCCTCCTGCCCAATGGGTACCGGGATCCTTTCCCGGGGGTAAAGCACGGCCGGGGCGTGATGCTGACCACTCACCCCCCATCTAGTGCCGAGGTCAAGAAAGAGTAGGAGCTATACCTCCTCTCCCCCCAAGCGCCTACATGGCGTGTAGCGGGACAGCTTTACTTTACTAGCAACTAGGATTTATAATAGCGTATTATTTTGTACAGTTACAAATCTTGTTCTTTGGTAGCTTTAATATTATTATGTCTTTCATTGCAGGTTAAAGAAATCTATATTCAAGAAATTGGCTCATACTATCCAATATTTTGCGATTTTCCTCGGATTCATATGACCCACAGTACTTTTTTTATCGATGATATTTTCATGTCACGTAATGGAGTGATATCGCAGAGAGCCGGAGCTGTGGAAAGAATCGGTGAAAGCAATCCACAAAAGAGCGCTGTACGGCCCATGAATGACTTCAGTCAGATTTCAGCTCACCAGGATAGTTTAATGCTACTAAGAAGACAATTTCCTGTGCTGCGATCACTTACGAGATGTGTCGACATGAACTGGTTGGCAATACTGGTATGTTTTCTTTGTTACTGCTGCTGATACAGTGAAAATTCGTATAATTATGTTTGAAAACAATTTTTTTAACCATTGCATTGAAAGTTAAGACTGACAGAAAATCTAGGGAAATGAGAATATCAGTTTTCTTTGAAGATTTCTGTCGTCTGGAAGGTTGCACCGTGTAGTCTAGTAGGTACTGACCAATTTTTGAAAAATAGTTAGTACTTTGTTCAAATTGTAGGTGCATTAGTGAACTCGTAGTTACATGTATACCATGATGATTTTTTTTTATGTTTTCCTTTATTGAGAAAAAAATATTTTCTGGTAGGTTGGTCCAGCTGGAAGTGGCAAAACAAGTGTGGTACACCTGCTTTCTCAGCTGCTAGGGCAGGAACTCCGAGTGTTGTCCATCAACTCTGCAATGGACACCACTGAAATCTTGGGAGGTTTTGAACAGGTAAGGATTACTTCTTCTTCAGCTGTATGTGTGAAAATACAGGGTGATTCAAAAGTTTCATACATAGGGAATAACGGTTGGATCAGCAGTTTCCGGGTTCCTGGATTGGTCGCCGCGGTCCCGTGGAGTGGCCTCCGAGTCCTCAGACCTCAGACCACTCAATTTTTACTTTTAGGGGCACTTGAAGGCCATGGTGCACCAGGAAAAGATACGAAACATGACTCACCTAAAGGAACGCATTCGAAATCCAATCACGCGCATAACACCAGATGTGTTAACGTGAGTTCACCATGAATGGGAGAGACGCATCCGTATGTGTTTTCAAAGGAATGGCAACCATGTAGAGCATGTTTTGTGAATAAAGTGACAGTTTGTTAAAAAAGTGACCATTTTCCTTATGTATGGAGGCTTTTGAATCACCCTGTAGATTATTTGTAAATGTTAATTTCATAAGCATGAGCATGAATATTGATGCATGTATATATATGTTTCTTACACAGTGTATTAGAGTTCCTGTATGTTTATGGTATTTCCTTTGTCTTTAGGTCTAGCCTATATTTGTGACTTAAAATGTGGGCCCAGTTTTTGCTTCCAGGCCAAAAATCGCGTAGGCGTTATATTATATTGTTATTGCTCGAAATCAGATGTGTAAAAGAAATTGGGGGAGAAGAACAGGGCAGTTATATTATTTTATGTTTAGGTTGCAGGAATTTCAGTTTTTGTCATGCAGCCTCACAGCCAGATGAAATCGACATTTATATGCTTTGAAGTGCACAGAATCGTAAAATCAATTTAACGCTTTCGTTGCTTTTTTGAACCTAGAATTTTCAGATAAAATGTATGCTGTTTAGGAATGAATCTGCGTTCCTCTACACCAAAGTTTTGAAATGATTAGCCTGAAAGCATAGTTCATATATTTTTTCCATTTTGATTCACTTTTTTGTTTGTTCTTTGTAATACAGGAAAATAGGCGAGTTAAATTTTTATCACGCTGTGCCACAGTACTAAGAGTTATGTTACCTTTCTGCTGGGATAGAACTAGTTCCCTGTCTTCATGGTGTCAGGAGACAAGCTCTTGTTTGTGCTCCTAGAATTCTTAGTTGATGCATGGAAACACTGAGTGGTCATAGCAGGCATAAACGAAAAATGGCCTAATCCTAGCAGAACTACAGGTTTTTTCCCCCTGCTGTGTTTCGAAGAAGTCCGCATTTTTCGATGAACCGAGAAAAACTATTAATCCTTGAACCTCCCGACTAGACACCAGATACGTTACCTCATATGGTGAATATAGATAATCAACAATTTTGAACACCAGTACTTTCCCCTCTCATTTAATTTTCAGCTTAGTATTGGCTCAAAGTATTGGTGTTACTTATTTCGAAAGAGTTCTGAAAACAAGCTCGCTTTTAGTTAGGTTAGGTGCTTGAAGTGATTCTCGATTGTGACGCCGATAAGATTGAGGTTGGTGCCCGCAAGTCCAGATGGCGTTACAGACTAACGTCGACAAGTGTTTAATGATTGGTTCCCGAACAGCGGTGACGTAAGCGTTTCTAGTATTATAATAGGCCGAATAATATAAGCAGGTATAGCTCAGTCGATAAAGTAACTTGTTATGTTGTGGAAGGCTGGGACTCGTTCTCGATAGAGTGAGACATTCTTTATCTTTGACACGGGCGTAGTGTGTGTCCAGTCAATACCAGTTCAGCGTACTGAGCCGTGTCTCATAGGGCTGGCCAAGAAAGGGGAAACATGTCTGTAAGTCGTCTGTATTCAGAATCAATCTTTACCAAACTGCACGGATGAGTGGATACCGAGTCCTTCGAATGATTGCCACGACTTTTTCGGTATTTTGTAGTACAGTACGATCATATTTATTATATACGTGCATCACGTTATAAGGTAGCTCGTCGCGGAAACAAACCTAACCTAACCCAATCTAAACTGACTGATTCATTCAAGATATTTTCAGTTCTTCTGGCATATTTTTAGTGGCCAGGGTTTCTCGACGAATGCAACAATGATGCCATGTAATGAGTGTAATGAGTGTAGTTATTCTCCCAGATATGGCACGCGTGCCATCTGTGATGATTCCTACGCACCTGGACCACTGAATTCCATCCACTTGACGTCATAAATTCATTCAAATTGCTGTACACATCTTCAGCAGTGTATCAAAGAGCGGCAGAACAATAAATCTTCAATAATATTTCCTTCAAACTACTATCTAACGTAACACAGTAAATGAGATTTGCTTGCGAAGTCCGTACTCCCATCCACCTGTAGGCTATAATTCGTACTACAAATTCGTTCAGTCAATTGTTTTTTTACGTTGTCTGAAATGTTGCCAATTCGCTTGTTTATGTGTCGTCAGACAATGCCTCGAAATTCTCTCTGCCTTTTCTCCGACCACTGCAGTAACCACGGCTATTGCAGCGGGTAATATAAGTTCTTTAGTGTCTGTATGAGGTTTTCCAGGTTCATCTATGAGCATGGACACTTCGTACGAAGCTTTCACAGCATTTTCATTGCAAGAACCCGTTGTGAGCTTCTTAATTAGTTCCATACTTTGTCAGAACCCTTGTTATTTTTTTTTTAAAAAATAGATTTGGTAACATGTTCTTTACGCTTACTTTCCGAGTGCTTTCCTTTATTGACGTCTTCAGTGTTTTCCCGCTTAAGCTTAAGAGCGTTCTCCCCACGCTGTTCGTGCAAATAACGCATAATAATAGGAACTGCACCCATTGACAAGGCGTCAGCTTCGTGGAACTGTTCCGAAATTCAAGATGAGTTGATGAGCTCTCCGGCCGGTCCCGTCGAGTCTTACCTCGAAATCCTCTTCTTTCCTGGAACTGCGTTCAGTCCCTGGGGGACCTCCTTCGACGCGTTGGCGTAGGGATAAGGAAGGTGTTGCGTAGGATTCAAAAGACTAGTCTTCGTTGGGATTGAATCACATGTATTTAATGCAGCAATTTTAAAATTAATTTTATTGTGTGGTTATTTATACACTTTAAACGTAATAAAATGTTTTGTATTTACATATTGGATTATAAACCTTTTCAGACGCTAGTCTGTATAAACATATTATTCTTTTTTTTCAGAAATGATTCATTGTTTATAATTTTTAAAATACAATTCTGAGTTGCATGTTTTAATTTTAGGCACTGGTTTTTTTAGTTTTTTTTTTTTTTTGAGATGTCACGTTGGGTGTGTTCAGGAATATGGAACGGAATTATGGAGTTAGTTTTTGAGCATGAATTTTCTCTGTGATGGAAGTATTTTTATTTTGAGTTTTCTCAACAACCCGGAGTTGTTAGGGGGAAGTGGGAACAATCGGGGAATTCTGTTTTTGCGCGGTTGGCATAACGACTAAGACGTAATATTATCTGACTCTTCAAAATTCGGACGTGATTTGTGCGAGATCTAAGGTTCTCGTGGAGGTGAGTTTAAAGATGGCTGTCTTCTGGGTTGTCGCGCGATCGCCCTGATGATGGAGGCAGCAAGGACCTCCGAAACCTCTATCAGACTACACGGCACTGCAACCCAGAAAACAGCTGTCCTCTTGAAACTTTTAGTCTGTTCTCCTGCCTTCAAGGACGTAATTTCCCTGGTAGTCATATAAATGACCGGAGAGTTGATTATCCTCTGTTTTGCTTAACGTGTATATGGAAAGTTTCTGGGGCGATTTGTTAGTACGATAGTTAGTAGAAATTGGTTTTTTGGCTTTAAGGTATAATTGGAAATCGATTCAATACTAGTGCTGTTTATGTGAGTACGATTTAACACAGGAGTTTGGGAAATGAATTTGGAAACACAGTTAAAGTTTTTGTGATTTTTATAGCGGTATTATTTCTACGTACGTGATGGCTGATAATAGATTATCGTATTTAATGAGTAATTTGAGCACATTATAAGCAGAGGCCAATAGAATGATATAATACTTCTTAGTATAAATGTACAGTAACTGGGACCAAACTGTGCTTTTCTCGTGAGTTACTGTCTTGCGTCAGAGTTTTGACTGTCACTTCACTCATTTTGTATCTGCAAGGTTTCCCCGGAAGAAGCAAGCACCGGAAATGAATATATTTTATTACGAGCTTACTGCGAAGAGAGATGATTGCTTGAGATTTAGTCTTTCCACTGCGATGTGGTTTTCAACGCGTATCCTCACGTCATTATCATTAATCCTAACCCTAATCGTCCACGAGACGGACAATATGTTCATTGTGCACTGACCCGTTCCTTCCTTCCTCACTCCTTCCCAATCCTATCGTCATTTCTCTCCCACTTTCTTACTTTCCACTGTCTCTTTCGTACCTTCTTTCTACCTGAAATTCCTTCCCCATATAAGACACGAGGCGCTGTTACTGTTAACAGACCTCGTCCCTCGTTATTTTATTATTCTCGTTTTTTAAATAATTCATTAGTTATATTATTATTTGCAGTCATAATGATGAAGAATGTCATATTTATCGCATTTATTACGTAAACAGTGTTAATGTTTACTGTCGTGGATGCTACTAAAGTTCTTTGTGTACAAACATCTTGGGGAGGATGCGTATTAATTTGAACAGCGCGGTGACTAGCTACTTCGAGAACTGCGCGTGAGGAAAACACTCATTCGTTTGGTGTTTGTTGACTTTTAAGTAAAAGTATGTTCGTTCGTGATTGTTTAGAACAACCGTTTGTATATTTGTACAGTGTAGGAGGTATACATTTCGGTAATAGAGACAGCACCAGTATGATAGCAGTAAATGTTTGCAGGAAAGGTAGTAACACCGCGTGTATCGTAAGGAGTGGGAGGAGAGGGGAATTTGTTTTGGTTGCCTGTCATCTCAGCGGGGATACGTTGCTGTTAGTAGTTAGAGCCGCTACAAACACAGGTAAGTTAAGACTAATGGCCCATAGAGTAATCTGAAATAGTTTTAACAGCAGTTACAAAGGAACCATGATTACGTATTATGTAATTTGAACGTTTACCCCGAGGTCCGTCTCGTAAGACC